AATAACAAAATATATTATGATAATTATATTTTCTAACATTATTTTATTAATGTTTATGAAAGTGTTATTATTTTAATTTTATAAACATGTATTACTTTATTTTTTTTATATTTCTACTTTTTGATGTCAATATTTAAATAATAGAATTTTCTTAATATAAAAAAATGTATAATAAAATTTTTGAAAATTAATTAATAAATTAAAAAATTGATAAATCATTGACATAAATTAGAATGAAATGAAGATACATTTGTTAATTGTACAAATTAATTTTTACCAATTAAAAAATTAAGAAACTTTTTAAATTACAAATTTGGGATTGCATTTTATGCCAATTTGGAACGACACATTCTCAACTAGGGTTTTTAAACCAATTTACTAGTTTGGAACGGCCCGTTCCAGTTTAGGAACGACTCATTATAGGCTACTAAATTACTCTTGTTTTCGCCTGAAAGCGAAAATATACTACATAATTGATTATGTATGACACATAATCGATTATGTGACATGCATAATCGATTATGTTGGCCCATAATCGATTATGTGCTACTATAATCGATTATGTATGTTCCATAATCGATTATGGGTTGTCATAATCGATTATGCTTCAGCATAATTGATTATGTCAGCCCATAATTGATTATATGACATGCATAATCGATTATGTTTCATTTCTACCTTCTCTCATGTATAAAAAAAACTGAAGTTTATCTACAATGACACAGTTTCTGCATGCATGGGATATGAGTATTATCGAGTTTTCTCAAATCTTACGTGACTTTCATCTCTTTTCTTCGCAAAAATGCGAAGACGCCAACGCCCCTTCTCTCACTTTTCTTCACCTTTCTTTTTTCGTAAATCAGTAAAAACAAACGTGTAATTTTCTCGCCTTTCATTCGTCTGAATAATAAATATGCAGAAACAAACACTACCTTACTCATGATAGATTTTGATAAGTGAGTAAGGAAAGGAATTACAGTAAGTGTATGAGATAAGAGTTGCATGAGATCATTGTCATCACATCAACCTTAAACACGAATGCCCCAGCTGACAAAAACAGACCCATCAATCAAACATGTCGGTTAATCAAATTTTTGTTCGCACGGGTCTCTTCATGCTTCATTATGTACAATGTCTCCACTTTGTACCTGTACCTTTCAAACATACCTTACCACGCACGTGTACTGTTGCCACTTAATACTTATTCCATTAATTCAATATTCCATAATTTAAAATACTAACTATTTTTTTTATGATGTTTTTGAATACACAATGCCTTTTATATATTATGAAAAGTGAAAAAAAAATTTATAGAAGGGCAAACAAGTAAAAAAAAAATAACTTTGATCACTTCTAATCCTCTAATATTAAAGTATTAAAAAAAGTTTGGATCCTACCACATATTCTCCTATTTCACTCAAATCCATTATACCAAATTTATTATAAATAAAAAAATTAATCACCTATACACTGTCAGTATAAATTAAGTTTTTTAACACTGATAACCAATCATATTTTTTAATAGAATCATGTCAGTTGCTCATTTAATAAAATAAAAATAAAATAAAATAATTTAAAAGATATAATTGATTGTTAGTGTAAATAAATTTACACTAACAATATATGGATGATTAACTCTAAAAAAAATAACTTGCATCAAGGACAAAGCTAGAAGAAAAAAAATATTAAGAAGAAAAAAGTTTATCGCATAATAAATAATATTAACAAATATAAATAAAATATTAGTTTTGCAAATCAACCTCATCCAACCCACTCAATATCAGGCCTATCAAACAAGATTAATCTTTCATCAAATGTGAGAAGTAATCTATAAAAAAAAATAAAAATAGGAGAGATAAAAGGAAAAAATCAAGTAATTTTTTAAAATCATTTAAATTAAAAGAATCAAATAAATAAGTCTTTTTTTATTATTAATAATTAACTATATTATTTAAACACTTTTAATGCAATCGTTTAACTTATTAATTTTCAGTGTTTTACTTTTAAATTCTTAGTAGTTTCTAATTCATTTCTGCAATTAGTATGCCGAACAAAATCCTAATTGAGTAACTTGAAATTATATCTTTTTTTCAAGTTTTTTTTTTCTTTTCTCACATCTAAAATCACATTATCTATCACATGCATATTGTTCATTACAATTTTTTTTTTCTTTCTTTTGTTTGTCTCTTGAATGATGAATCTCTTCCACATAGAGAATGTGAATCAAGCATTATTGTTGACAAAATACCAATGACACATTACTAGAATTATAAGAAAGGTTTAGAATAAGAGTAATGACAAATATTTGTTTTTCATCTCTTTTTATTTAATTTCTTCCGTCGCATTCTTTTGCGCCCCCCTCCCCCCTCCTCTTTTTT